ACTGCCCTCTAGTATGTCTTGAAATCTGGTATTGTGATTCCTCTGTCTTTATTTTTGTTGTTTAAGATTGTTTTAGCTATTTGGGGTCTCTTGTGTTTCCATATGAATGTTAGCATAATTTCTTTTTTAAGATCTGGGATGTATATCATTGGCACTTTGGGATCGCAATGAATCTGTAAATTGCTTTGGGTAGTATGAACATTTTGATGATATTCTTCCAATCCATGATGATTTTTAAGTTTTTAGAATGAAAGGATATTATATTTATCAAATGCTTTCTTTGCATCTATTGAGATAATCACATGGTTTTTAACCTTCATTTTATTGGTAAACTGAATCATGTTTATGAATTTGTTGAATGCATATATTGAACAATCCCCAAATCGCTGAGATAAATCCCACTTGGTCTGAGTGGATGATCTTTTTCATGTGTTGTTGGATTGCATTTACTAGTTCTTTGTTGAGGAATTTTGCATCTATGTTCATCAGGGTTATTAGTCTATAGTTTCTCTTTTTATGTTGCATCTTTCTCTGGTTTTGTAATTAAGGTAATCCTGGCCTCACTGGATGAGTTGGGAAGGCTCTCACCCTTTCAGTTGCTTTGAGTAGTTTAAGAAAAATTGATATTATTTCATCTTTAAAAGTTTAGTAGAATACAGCAGTGAAGCCAGGGCTTTTTTTTAAAAGACTTATTTATTTATTTAAAAGGAAGGGTTTTACACACAGAGAAAGAGAGAGAGAGAAACACACACAGAGAGAGGGTCCTCCATCCATTGGTTCACCCCCCAAATGGCCACAACAGCCAGAGCTGAGCTGATCCAAAACCAGGAGCCAGGAGCTTCATTGGGGTCCCCCACATGGGTGCAGGATCCCAAGGACTTGGGCCATTTTCCACTGCTTTCCCAGGAGCATTAGCAGAGACCTGGATCAGAAGTGGAGCAGCGAGGACCATATGGTACCATAGGCAGCAGCTTTACTAGTTACAGCACAGCGCCAGCCCCACAGCTTTTCTCTTTTGGGAGGCTATTTTTTACTGATTCAGTCTCAGCCTTGACTATTGGTCTATTCAGTTTTTCTGTGTTTTTAATTCTTCAATCTTGGTAAATTATATGTCCAGAAATCTATCCATTTCTTTCAGATTTTCCAATTTGTTAGCATCTAGCTCTTTTTAATAATTCCTAATCATTCTTTGTATATCTCTGTATCAGCTGTAACATATTCATCTCTGATTTTTTTTCTTACTTTGGGTTTTCTCCCTTTTTTGTTTAGTTGGACCAATGGTTTACCAATTTTATTTTTTCAAAACATATTTCTTTAATTCACTCATATTTTGTATAGTTTCTTATTTCTATGTTATTTATTTCTTTTTATTTTTAGTATTTCTTTCCTTCTACTAAATTTGTTTAGTTTATTCTTGTTTTCCCAGGGACTTAAGATGCACTGTTAGATCATTTATTAGATACCTTTCCAATTTTTTATATAGGCACTTACTGATATAAATTTTCCTCTTAACAATGCAAGTTTTGATATGCTGTCATTTTCATTCATTTCCAGGTCTTTGGATTTCTTTTACAACTCACTGTTCATTCAGGATATGTTGTCAGTCTCCACGTGTTTGCTTATTTTCAAGAGTTTATTTTATTATTAATTTCCAGCTTCACTCCATTGTGGTCAGAAAAGATACATACTATGATTTCCATTTTTTAAAAATTTGTTGAGACTTGTTTTATGCTACAGAACGTCCCATGCACTGATGAAAAGAATGTGTATTCTCGGGGTTGGTACTGTGGTGTAGCAGGTAAAGCTGCCGCTTCCAGTGCTGACATCCAATGGGTGTCAGTTCAAGTCCTGGATGCTCCACTTCTGATCCAGCTCTCTGCTATGACCTGGGAAAGCAGTGGAAGAGGGCTCAAGTCCTTGGACCTCTGCACCCACGTGGGAGATCCAGAAGAAGCTCCTGGCTCTGGCTTCAGATCAGCGCAGCTCTGGCCATTGTGGCCATCTGGGGAGTGAACAAGCAGATGGAAGATCTCTCTCTCTCTCTGCTCTCCTTCTCTCTTTCTGTGTTAACTCTGACTTTCAAATGAATAAATAAATCTTGAAAAAAAAAAGAATGTGTATTCTGTAACTGTGGGAAGAAATGTTCCGTAGAAATCCATTAGATATATCTGGTCTATAGAGTAGATTAGTTCTGCTATTTCTTTATTGATTATTTTTGTCTGGTTGATCTGTCCAGTGATGAAAGTGGGGTGTTGAAGTCTCCCATTATTATTTTCTCCCATTATTATTGTATTGGAATTTATGTCTCCCTTTAAACTCATTAACATTTTCCAATATGGAGTCTTAACCACTATGCCAAGTGCCCAACGCTAGTTTCAGTTTTAACCATGAAAGATTAAACAACTGGTCTGCTAATTAAAATTTTGAGGGAGCAGGTAGATACTGCTTGCAATGCCTGCATCCCATGTTGGAGTGCTGGTTCTAGTCCAGGTTGCTGTTTCAAATCCAGCTCCCTGCTAATGTACCCGAGAAGCAGTGGATGATGGCTCAAGTATCTGAATTCCTGCTACCAATGTGGGAGAATCAAATGAAGTTCCTGGCACCTGGTAACAGCCTGGCCCCATCCCCAACTGCTGCAGTCATTTCAGAAGTAAATAAACAGATGGAAGGCCTCCTCTTTGTCTCTCTCTGTCATGCTGCCTTTCAAATAGATAAGTCAATCCTTTAAAAATTGAAATAGGAGCAAATATAGATATATATATTTTGAGATTCAGCATTAACTCTAATGTGATAAGGAAATATTTACTCTAATATATAATATATAATATTATATGCATATTGTTATATGTATATATTATATAATATATATTATATACGTATATTATTCTATTATATATGTATAATATATATTATATAAACAAAGTTATGTTTTATTAATACTCTGGTTGTTGCATTCAAAAGTAAAGGAAATACAAACTTTCAATTAAAGGCTAGTAAATAAAAGCAACTTTTTCTCCAGCCAAGGTTCACAGACTCTTCTAATTCTTTTCACAGATCCATAGAGCATAGGCATAGAGCCAGGCTGGCATTGTGCTGTACCAGATAAAGCCTCCAACTGCAGTGCTGGCATCCCATATGGGCAGTAGTTCATGTCCTGGCTGCACTACTTCCACTCCAGCTTCCTGCTAATGACCTGGGAAAAGCAGCAGAAGATGGACCAAGTTCTTGGGCCCCTGCCACCCACATGGGAGACCTGGAAGAAGCTCCTGGCTCTTGGTGTAGGACAGGTCCAGCCCTGGCTGTTGCAGCCCTCTGAGGAGTGAAGCAGTGGATAGACGATCCCTGCCCCCATCTCTAACTATCTATCTCTCCCTCTCTCTCTCTGTGACTCTGACTTTCAACTGGATGAATAAATCTTAAAAAAAAAAAGAACCCCAGCGGCAATGAATCTATTAAACCCATATTCTGTGTATAAATGCTCACTGTGCCTTGAGGAAGGGATACAATTCAGAAGTATAGTCTCTACCATGTGACAACTTGTGATTAAAATTTAAAAATAGGATACCAGAAGCAGCTAACTTAGGATCTAATGTTGACTTATTCCCCAAATAAACAAGATAGATAATAAAAGGTAGAGCAGTTTCCATAACATGGAAATCACTATGGGTTGACATAGTCTTGGAGCTCTTGTGAACTGAAAAGAACAAGGATGAAGATGTCATGGGTGGGGAGGGGTGGGATAACATTATACTCATTTTTTAAATTTTCTTTATAAATATTTCATTAGCAGGAGTATGAATTAAAAATGTGGCCCCACATGCTGTGGCACAAGACTAAGTCTCTGCCTGTGGCACCAGCATCCCATATGGGCACTGGTTCCTGCCTCAACTGCTCCTCTTCCAATCCAGCTCTGTTTATGGTCTGGGAAAGCAGTAGAAGATGGCCCAAGTCCTTGGGCCCCTGCACCCACATGGGAGACCTGGAAGAGGCTCCTGGCTCCCAGCTTCAGATCGGCCATTTTGGGGACTGAACCAGTAGATGGAAGATCTTTCTTTCTGTTTCTTCCTCTCCCTTTAACTCTACCTTTCAAATAAATAAATAAAATATGTTTAAAAAATGTGGTCCCATAAAGAGTGAAATTAATTCTATGGTTAATTTTTTTTACAGACAAACCAGCCATTAAAATAAAAAGTAAATCACAAAGTACACAAAATGCCACCAGGTGTTACTCATGTGGATAAATTTTAAAATCAAGTAAATTACAATTCAGTAAATTTACAGCAATGTTTAGTGACACTTTGCAGTGACATGAGAATAACAATGATAAAGTCCACACCACCCAGGAGTTTTGGATTTTTGACCACAGTGCACTGCTAAGGGGAATCAGGTAGGTTATGGAACTCAGAAGTGTTCCAAACATAAATTCCTGATGAACCATGACACGTAATCCCGTAACTCTCAGGCTACTCAGGTTAAGTATGGGATGGGCAAAGTCTCAGGGCTGGCCTATCATCCTTGACAGGATTCACCAAAATGATATGGGCAAATTTTACCTTTTCTTTTTATTGTGAACTGTATGTGAAAAATTTAGGAAAATATTAACTTGGAGCTTTCCAGACAGATGGAAGATCAGACATGTCCCCCAAATTCTCAAGCTTCTGCTTTAAAGTGACCATTTCTATTTTTATAAGTCATATTCTTCCCTCATCCACCAGCCTCAGTGACATACATGTGGCTTCAGGTGACACATTGTATGTTTTATAAACAAACAAACAGTAGCTGCAAGTTACTTTTCTGGCACTTCCTTTGACTTGCCTTTTTTCCTGCAGGGATGCAGGCAGCAGGCCATATTTTCTTTTTGACTAAAGATGGCAATTAAAGCCCTCCTCCTACCCATCTCCCGTTTGACAAACTCCCTGGAAACCAGAGAGGGAGGTTTCTGTGACTCCTCTTGTGGCGAGGACTCAGCCCCTTCCTTTACTATTCTTCCTGCTTCTTACCGGTCTGAGACTTTTTCCATCACCTGTGGTTTCTATTCCTCTTCTTTGGGTAGCTGTCCAGTTTCAGAGGTAGGATGGTGTTGTATTTCCACTAAGTTCTCTTTCTGAGGTGAATCTCCTCTGCCTGTATTACTTCACTTTTCCATTTATTAAAAATGAACCCATGTCCCAGCCTCTAGAACATAATTATGAAAGAAAAAAATTGTTAATTACAGCAGTTAAAATTTATTCCAGGAAAATGTCACTTATATAACACAAAGGCTAAATACAAGCTTTCAGTTCTAGCACAAAAGGAATGTCATTAGCAAGATGAGGCATCTTCCTGTAAGGCCCTGGACATCCAATCCTGAGGAATATTTGCAAAAATCTCTGAGAGCTCCTGGCCATACAAAAGAATATTGTTCAGTCAACAGAGACTTATTAAACACACTCTTATGGGAAGAAACCATGTGATGGGGAAGCAACATAAAAGGACTTTCATAGGAGTGTGATGTGTCTTACATCAAGTTTACGAGAGGGGGACACTGTCTGGAATCACTGTCAGAACTAGAGGGCAGACAAGAGGTTGTCTAACCCAGTCTTCTATTTGTAGCTTATAAAGCCCCAGTGAAAAGAAATTAAGTGGTTTATCCAAGGAGACTCAAGTAACAAGTAACAAATTTAAAAACCCATGAGTAGCTGGAGCACAGGAACCTCCCTCAGCTCTGGGGGTCTTACAAAGTGCCCCATTCTGTCTCTTTGTGGAAAGCTGGGCTTACAATAGTAACTTGGTAATGCGTAGCACTTTGGTAATATAATAATCTCACCAATACTCCGATAATACAATACTGCAGGCAGTTTTCTGTTTTTATCAAATGCATTAGAACAGAGTAGCTTATTTATGCATAGAATTACACACCTCAGTAGCAAAGCTAAGGCTTACAAAGGCTCTCCAGGTGAACAGAAAGCACCACACCACCAGGTGACTAGTCTCTTGGGCAATGATTACGGAGTCTCAACTGTATATCAGGTCAGGGCTTGATCCGCTGATCAACCACTTAGATAATCCCATTCTGTCATGCTCTACCAGTGCAATTTGGCAAGCTATTATCCCCAAAGCTTGAAAGCAGCAAAATTCCACTCAATATTTCAGAGAAAATCACTTCCAGTAATTTGAAGTGCTGCAGTAGAACAACTGAGAAAAACTTCTCTTTCCCTTTACCCGCATCTTTGTTGTAACCTCCATCACTTTTCACTTTTCTCTCCACCTAACCCTGCCCTTCACTAACATCTACCATGATTCACTAGAAGAGCATTTTCCATTTTCCCAGCAGTAACCTGCATACCTTCAGAGAATTTCCTTTTCAAAATGACTTGTGTCACAATAAAACACTGCTATAGAAAAGCTATCTGAACCCATTTCTGTGTCTTCTCTTTACCCAAACAGACTTATCACAGCATTGACAATGTATATTTATGCTTTATTTAAATTATAATCACTGTACTGAAATAACTTAGAAGGCATATATGTTCCCTAGTAGCCCAGACATATGTGCATATTTGCTGAAAAGAATGAAATATTATTCAATCCACCCATAAGTTCAAACAATCCCATGTTTACTGTAATAATTCAGGTAGGGTTCCTGGAGGGTAGGAAGAAAAAAGCTAAGCAGGTCCTAAAAGAGAGGAGAAAGGGAAACACTTCCTCCTCTACACAGCAGTTTTCCACAGGAAAGGAACTACCACTCTCTGAACGTGGATGTTACATGTTTTTCTAGATAAAAGACTTATTTGGGTACATTACTTGTATCATATGCAAGAAATATATGTACCATTCTAATGAAGCACTCTTTGTATTTAATATCTTATTGTTTTATAATTATGTACCTGATGAAAAGTTACAATTTTTCTTAGGGTAGATTAGGATCCAAGGATTTAGGTATCAGAAAGAACACAGGAGGGGGAGATAAGATGTTCCACAAAATAAAGGGGAGAAAATTACTGTAGTATCTCTTGAAAGGAAATGGTAGCTACAAATTAAAAGGAGAAAGAAAAGATTGAGAAGGGCCAGAAAAAAGGGATCAGACAGACAGGAGGTGGGGCAGTTGAAAGACAGCCACAAAACATACCAAGTGGAGAGGGGGACCTGACGGGCAGGAGAGAGAGGGCGAGAGAGAAAGAAGAAAAACAGGAGAGAGTGTGGAAGGCAGGTCTTGTTGCAGTCTTGCAGGGGAGAGAAGTGGGAGTAGCAAATCCCGTTAAGGTGGGGGTGGAACTAAAGCTTGAGGTGGGGCCATTTGGTCACCTGACTTCTGGAAAGCCAGGCTGGGCTTAGGACCAAAGCTTGTTGTTCAAGATGGCAATGGGGCCAGAGCCTAACATGGCACCTCAGATCAGACGGCACCACTTCACTGACAGCAGTAAAAAGGCCTGTGAGATACTCTGTCTCACATTCAAAGTTATTCATCATGTTACAATATAAATCCTTTATCTCAAACAATTTCCAGACATGGTTGTTTACTTACCTAATAAATGCCTTGTATGAATGGAGGTAATTTTTTGGAGTTTAAGCTCAGGTGAGTCAAACTGCTAATGAAGTTAAGCCTGCAGAGAAAGGGAAAAGAAATTAGGAAATAGCAGAAATCATGAAACACAAGCTCTCCAACTCCTCACTCACAGAATTCATAGAAAATTAGGTATGTTCTTTGGATTACAGGGTAATCTGATACCTGATGAAACTGAAGTTTCCAGTACTTTTTACCCACAAAATCATAGAGAAGGAGCTCTAAAAGGGGCTGGCTTTGTGGCGTAGGAGTCCTAGCTGCTGCAGTACCTATCTAGCTCCCTGATAATGAGCCTGGGAAAAGCAGTCAAAGATGGTCCAAGTGTGAGACCTGGAAGAAGCTCCTGGCTCCTGTCTTCAGCCTGGCCCAGCCTTGCCCATTGCAGCCATTTGGGAAGTGAGCCAGCAGATGAAAAGTCTCTCTCTCCCTGCCTCTCAAAATAAATAAATAAATAAATAAATAAATAAATCTTTAAAAAACAAAAGAAAAATAAACTCCAAGAGATTTGTGACTTACACATAGTTTCTGAGAACAAATTATTTAATGTGAACAGAAACAAAATGATTAAAAGATTATTCCAGGAAAACACAGGGATTAATGTACAGAAATTTTACTAAACTTGGTAGACACTAGCAATTAAGATGCCCATATTTCAGATTAGATTACCTGGATCTGAACCCCGCTCCAGCTACCAATTCCGGCTTCCTACAACGTGGACTCTGAGATGCAGTGGTCATGGCTCAAGAACATGTCACCAATATGAAAACTTGGATTGAGTTCCTGGCCCAATAGTGCTATGGCAAGAATTTGGGGAGTGAATGAGCCTGGAAACAGATGCTCTCTGTCTGGCTAGCTGACTGTCTCTCTGCCTCTCAAACATGAACCTGTGTCTATCCTTACATTGAAAGGTAATCAGAAAATATGACTAAGAAAGGTTGAAAATATTTTTGGTTAGTTTAGAGATTTATTTGATATGATAAGGGACAGGAGTAAGACTTCAACCCCATTTGCTACATGAAGATGTGTTCCCTTCACTGAGTGTTTGTGAAGTGGAAGGAAGAAGTGGGAATTAAATCTCAATAAACACAGCTTTCTCAATTGCATAATTTGAAGTGTAGATTTCCTGGAAGTATTTTCTGTAATAGTCCTTGGAAAGACATCTTTCTTTACTTCATTTTTGGAATTGATTTTAACTTCACATCTCAGAGCTCTATTGTACCTCTTGGGAGTATCAGACACCACCACCACCCCTGCCAAGAATTTCATCTGGAAGTTTCACAGAGCAATCCACTAAATGTGTTCTTTACACTTTGCAAAAGAAATTTTTAAGCTGTTTATTCTATCATATTGGCAACTTTATTCACATCAGAAGAGGCTGACTGTAAAAGCTGGTCTCTCTATCAGCTTAGCTAAGCTACTGTACAGTCACTCAGTCAAACACACATCTAGCTATTACTGTGAAAAGGAATTCTGCACAATCATCTAATTTTAAGCAAAGGAGATGATTCTAATAATGTGTTTGGGCCTCCTCTAATCAGCTTTAGTCATCACCCTGAAAGAGAAGGATTTCTGCCTGCAGACTGCAGCCTCCTCTCCTGCCTGAGCTCCAGCCTGCCAGCCTGCCCTGCAGACTCCCACAGGGCAGCCCCACCGCACAGGAACCAGTCCCTGGATGTGCACTTTTCTTTACAGGACACACAGCTGTCCCACTGCCTCTATTTCTGCAGAGAACTCTGACTGATATGGTGGACACAAAGACTGCACCATGCTCCTGACAAGAACAGAATGAAACAAACGGTCAATCCAGCAAAAGAAATTAACTACTCAGCTTTTTAGATAAGAGTGTTAAGAATAAATGTGTGAACTGAAGAATTAGATAAAAATCAGTTTCTTAAAAAGTTGGGCCGGTGCTGTGCCTCACTTGGTTAATCCTCTGCCTGCAGCGTCGGCATCCCATATGGGCGCTGGGATCTAGTCCCGGCTGCTCCTCTTTCAGTCCAGCTCTCTGCTGTGGCCCGGGAGGGCAAGTGGAGGATGGCCCAAGTGCTTGGGCCCCTGTGCCCACATGGGACACCAGGAGGAAGCACCTAGCTCCTGGCTTCGGATCGGTGCAGTGCCCGCCGTAGCAGCCATTTAGGGGGTGAACCAACAGAAGGAAGACCTTTCTCTCTCTCTCTCTCTCTCTCTCTCTCTCTCTGTCTTTAACTCTACCTGTAAATAAAAAAAAATTTACAAAAAGTTAAGCAATATGAAAAATACTTATGATAACTGATTATTGCCTAGCCCACAATTTTGGGCTGAATGGAGTAATACTTACATTGGAGGGGAAAAACACATGACTTCATACAGTACTGAAATATGTCTTATTGCTCCCCCTAAATTATATACCCTAGAAGGCACAGAAAATGTCTCAGAATGTCTTTCTCATAATAAGTACACAATAAGTGACTGCTAAATAAAAGAACAGAGTTTCATCCTGAACATTAGTAATTCAACACATATTGACAGGATGCCTTCTATTTTTACCACTACTACAAGTTCAGAAGTACAGTCATAAGGACAAGGCCTTCCCCAATGGAAACATGCTATGGCTGGCTTATCTGATCCAATGACTGATAAAGGTGCTTCCAGAATCTGGGTAAAAGAAAATTACTGTCTTGATTATGTCAAACTCAGAAAGTTAGTAGTTTATTTCCCAGAACATTTAGTTTGTCTTACTAACCATTATGTCTAGATACTTAAACCATTTTGAGGAAACAGCCTAGAGATAAGGGCTTAGTTGGAGTTGATGGACAGACTCAAGCCTATACGCTGGCATTAGGATGTGCTACCTGGACAAACTGTTTAATGCCTCGGAACCTCAGGATTTCCAACTGTAAAATGAGGACAAGTTCTAACTGGCAGGGTATGTGTATATATGTTAGCACAAACATACATGTACATGTGATGAATAAATTACTGTTATTAAGGTAGCAACTATGCGTCTGGCATATGGAAATTTGATAATAAATGGTAATTAAATGTTATATACTTCATATTTAAAGCTATACATCTCTGAGGCAACAATTTCCTTTAGCAAAAAAAAAAAAAACTAACTTGAGGCTTTTCCTTTCTTTTGGATTTTTGGGACGTGCTCTTTCTATTAGTTTATCCAAGGGAAAACCCACAACATGTAATGGTAACACATATAAATTCCTAGTAAATAATACAAATGTAGGTATCAAAAATAGGTGGTTGTTTATAGACTCTCAGACCTGCAATAAATACTGGAGGTCATCTAGGTCTCCTCTCACAGAAGTTCAGAAAAGCAGAAAAACCTTTCAAAAGGCACTAGGTAGCTGGTTGCAGAGTGAGAGCAACCATCAGGCCAGAGACACATTCCCAACTCTCTTTGATCTGTAGTTCATCTCTTTAGATTCTTTTTTTCCCCAAAGGGATAAGTGCCATTCTCATGTAAAAATAAAAAAGACAATCCCTTTTCCTCTAACACAGCTCATATTTATTAACAGAATTCCCTATACTCTGATTGTTAGGGAGGGTTTGTGTACCCAGGATGCTGGTCACCATCTGAGAGGCCCATGGGAAATCTAAAGGGTGGTGGCCAGTCTGTCATTCACCATGTCAGGTCTGTGCTAAGTGCTTTGCTTGTGCTTTGTCAATTAGTCTTACTCAAAATCCTTTAAGGTACATGCTTTTATTTTCAACACAATCAAGCTGGGTTAATCAATGTTTAGGGAAGTTAGGTAGTAGATTTGAATCTATACCGCTACCCAATAGAAGGGTGCTACTCGCAGCTATTCAGTCTGACTAGAGAAATTTGGAGGTTTCTTGGCACTAAAAACTGCTAAATCTTTCTCTTCCATCATTTTATCTGGTGTTCAGGTCTCCCTGCCCATCCAAGATAAATGATGCTGAATGCTTGAATCTTTAGCTGTCTGGTCGGGTATTACAGTCACATGAAGAAACCAGTCCAGAGTTGTATGCTGGTAAAGCTGAAAGAGTGTGAAGTCCTCTGGGCCTTGTGCTTGTGCAGACGGATGATGAGGTGTGGCCTCCTACTGGGAATACAGGACCACCCAGCCGGAGAATCTGTGATACCAGAACACAATCAAAATGTTCCCAGAAGGCTTTGCAAATCTCCAAGGACATGGCATTATCCAAATGTCTTTAATAAGCCACTGTCTTTCTCTTTGTTAACCCATATAATAAATTTAAACAAAAAGTACATAAAAGGTGTGATGAAGAGGACTTTTCTCTACCAACATTACCACACAGTACACTGATGTCAATGTAGTGACAGGCAATGAGAGTAAGGCAAGAGTGTTTCACACACAGGAAACATAACTGTAATGATAAACAACACTTCCATAGACCTGCTCATTTGAAGATGAGTACAGTTATTGAAGTCATAAACTTGGTTCTACCTCACCTTGGCCATATGAGGTTTGTCAGTGACCCTAGATGAATTTCAGTGTCTTTTATATAATGGAGCTGTTTTACTTACATTTATTTATTTTTACCGTCATGCCCACCAAGTTAAGACTGCTTTGGACATGGATATAAAAATCATCAAATTTCATACAGATATCTGATATTACTACTAGTAACTAATAGTATTTGAAAGTGTTAATGGGTATTTTACTGACTGAAGCACATGACCACAGAACATTACTGTTACCTAGTCCTCCTCCCTGGGAACAGGTCACACAACTTCAAATGGTAGAACTTTGAGGGACCTCTGGAAGGCCTCTGATTACACATTATGGAAAGCCAAAGACTTAGAGAGACCAACAGGCTGCTCAAACTCACAGAGCTCACCCAAAACAAAAGAGGACTACAATTCAGTTCTCTGAGATTTTAGCCTGATGCTGTTGGAATACTGTTTTATGATTTTCTACATTTTAATTGTTAAAGACCAATTTTCTTTTATGATAATCTAAAAATGAAAATTATCCTCATTAACTCAGTGGTTTCCACTGGCCTGTCAAAATTATGAAAGCATCCCAGGATGATCCAGATGCAAAGACAATGAACCATGAG